TTGGTTTTTCAACAACTTACTTCTCAGAAATTTATAACAATTTAGCATTTTATCACCATTTCCAAGAAACTATACAAACTCACCCGGCAAAAAAATTCTTTTTCCAGCCGGGCATGGTGGCTCACACCTGTAATCCCAGCACTTTGGGAGGCCGAAGAGGGTGAATCACCTGAGGTCAGGAGTTCAAGACCAGCCTGGCCAACATGGTGAAACCCCGTCTCTACAAAAATACAAAAAAAATTAGCTGGGCTTGATGGCGGGTGCCTGTAATCCCAGCTACTTGGGAGGCTGATGTGGGAGAACTGCTTCATTCAGGAGGGGGAGGTCGCAGTGAGTCAAGATGGCACCATCACACTCCACCCTGGGTGACAGACTCCATCTCCAAAAAAAAAAAAATTATTTTTCCTTTTTTTTGAGATGGAGTCTTGTTCTATCGCTCAGGCTAAAGCGCAGTGGTACGATCATGGCTCACTGCAACCGCTGTGTCCCGGGCTTTCCTGGGCTCCAGAGATTCTCCTTCCTCAGCCTCCTGAGTAGCTGGGACGACAGGTGCACACAACCACACCTGGCTAATTTTTGTATTTTTGATAGAGATGGGGTTTCACCATGTTGGCCAGGCTGGTTTTGAACTATTGACCTCAAGTGATCCACTTGCCTCGGACTCCCAAAGTGTTAGAATTATAGGCGTGAGCCACTGCACTCGGTCAAAATAATTCTTATGTGTACTTATAATTATTTTCTACAAGTTAATTTGTAAATGGCTGTATTACGTTTTAGAAAAATACGTATGCAAAAGACTCATATTTTGAATAGTCTGTCTTTATTCATTTAGACAGACATAATTCTAATATTTTAACCTCATCAGACAGAAACATCATCATGAATTTTAAATAAGGTTTTTCAATCTACCCTAACTGAACAAGAAGCCAAATGCAGTGCTACTATTTAAGCCTGCAAGCACGCTTTACAAAAGCGTATCTTGCTTTACCCTATGTCTTGCTATTGATATTTTTAGGGTATATAAAAATCATGCCTGAAAAAAATGAAATTATGATTAAACAACATATTCTACAATTTTATAGACCTGCTAAGATTTTAGCATACAGGGATCACAAAGATTTTAATAGAAACAATGAAATTATATTCTCTGCAGATGGTTTTATCAAAGAAAATCACTGCTTTCTCTCACATATCTGAGAACATAGGAATTAAACTACTCACTTATTATCATTAAAAAGAAATCAAAACCATTATAAACTTGTTGAAATATAGGACAAATGGATTTAACAGTGAGGAAGGCAAGAATCACTAAATGGAAAATGAACCTACTATCAAGTTTTGTTTTGTTTTTTTTTTTTTTTGAGACAGAGTCTCGCCCTGTCACCCAGGCTGGAATGCAGTGGCCGGATCTCAGTTCACTGTAAGCTCCACCTCCTGGGTTTACGCCATTCTCCTGCCTCAGCCTCCCGAGTAGCTGGGACTACAGGCGCCAGCCACCTTGCCCGGCTAGCTTTTTGTATTTTTTAGTAGAGACGGGGTTTCACCATGTTAGCCAGGATGGTCTCGAACTCCTGACCTCGTGATCCGCCCGTCTCGGCCTCCCAAAGTGCTAGGATTACAGGCTTGAGCCACCACATCCGGCCCTACTATCAAGTTTTTAAAAAATACCTGGAAAACATTATTCCTGGCCAAAATTTTGTCTGCATTTTTCTGGTTTCCATTTGTTCTACCTTCAGATAATTTGCATCTAAAGAAACATATTTAGTTTTCTTAATTAACTTTTCTAGAATATTATAGAGTCTACCATTTTAAGTTACTTATCACTAATGCCAATTTATAAACTCAAATCAATGTGAATATTACAGTGGGATAATTAAGATTAATCAATCAATTGAACACAGTGGAACATGGCAGCACATGCCTGTAATCCCAGCTGTGTCGGGGGCTGAGGCAGAAGTATCACTCAAGCCCAAGAGTTTGAGACCATCCTGGGCAACATTGTGAGATCTTGTCTTTATTTAAAAAAACAAAATACACACACACACACACACACACACATACACGCACACAGAGATTTCATGTACTTTAATGTAAAACATCACTCAAACCAAGAAATTGCTCACCAAATATATTCTTCACTTTAAACACGTGGTTGACAATTCAACAAAATGGTGAAAATTCTCTTTGATTTTTAAAATCTCTAACTTTTCATTTTGACAATTATAAAATTATTCTGCATATCTGTTTTCAGGTCAAAACATGTTTCTTTCAAAATAGTCCTATTAATTTAAAAGCATTTGGCAAAAGCTTTCAAAGAATCAGCTACCAAGTAAATTTAAAGACTAGGTGAATTTTAGTTTATTTTCAGAGATATAAAGAATATATACAATCGTCATCTTTATTTCCTTTATGCTATATATAATCTCACCTTTGCAAGACAGAAGCAAGCTGACATTCTTACTCTGTAGAAACACTGCTCTTGTTCTAATATATCAGTGAGTGCAAGCCGAGATGCTGGAGTAGGGAATTTTTCCAAAGCCAAAATGGATTCCTGCTGTGCAACAACATCTCTCTCATACCGGAGCTGATACTGCCACATAAAATCAGCTTGCTCAAATTCTACCTTTCTCAATACTGACATGTCTGGGTCTATCCTTATCCACAGCAAAGGGGAATCGGCACTGAAAGAAAATATAATTTTATTTTTAATTTAATTTTTAAACTTATAATCTACATATTTAGAAAATAAATACAAAGCATTTATTAACCAGGTTCCCTTTTAGATGTAGTATTCAAGACTGCCTGGAGTTTTACTGTATTCATTTTTTAAAACTGCACTGACAAATTCCTCATAATGTTTAACATATATCAACTTTCTCACAATGTCTGATCCATATCCATCTTGTTAAAAGGACATTCAAAAATAAGAAAATATTAATTGTCTTTTACAAAGGATACTGAATCTCTTACTTCCCATCTGAAATTATTTTGGTGATTTTGATTTGTAATTATATGAGGCGAAAAAAAGAATGAGACGAATTTCTTGTTCAGCTGACTTAAAACTTTTAAAAATACTAGACTCATGATTGCCTTTTTCAAACAGCAAGTTCTGAAATCTGATTTGGAGGCATATCACAAATTTATTTTCATGTATTTCTGAAAGTAACACTGTTTAAAACATCTAGTCTATGTCAACACTTTCATGAAAAAAACACCACCTGTAGCTTGCAGTGAGCCGAGATCGCGCCACTGCACTCCAGCCTGGGCGACACAGCGAGACTCCGTCTCAAAAAAAAAAACACCATCTGTAATATTAATTCAAATTCAGCAAATATTGCGTGCTTACTACAGGCAAAGTACTTACTATGAAAAAATCAAATTAACACCGATCTCAGTTGGGTGCAGTGGCTCATGCCTGTAATCCCAGCACTTTGGGAGGTCGAGGCTGGTGGATCATTTGAGGTCAGGAGTTCAAGGCTAACCTGGCCAACGTGGCAAAACCCCAAATCTACTAACAATACAAAAATTAGCCAGGCATGGTGGCAAGCAGCCAGGCATGCAGTGAGCCAAGATGGTGTCACTGCACTCCAGCCTGGGCAATCAAGCAAGACTCTGCCTCAAAAAAAAAAAAAAAAATTAACACTGATCTTGAAGGGCAAATGAACATAATCTGTATATAAACAGTAGTGATAATCTGGCAATCAAGTTAGTAAATAACTACAGAGGTTTTATAAAAAATATACAGGTACAGAATGGGCAAAATCAGAAAGTCTGAGCTGTATCATATTTAAAAATAAAACACTGTCAATCAATAAATATTACCACATAAAGTTTAGAACAGTGGTTTTTAAATTGTTTCGCAAGCACAGGGAGACTTAAGGCACCCCAGACCTTTGTTCTAAGGACAAAGAATCAATATCACCAGGGAGCTCACAAGTAATGCAAACTATCAGGCCTCACTAGTGTAGTACTGGATCAGAAACTGCATTTTGGGAAGGTCCCCAACTGATTCGCATGCACGTTATAGTTTGAGCACTGCTCTAGAGGCCACCAAGAGACAACAAGAAAGCTGCCTAGTCAAAGTTGTGCCCACCCCTCAACCATAATGCATGTCCTCTTAATTTCACCTAGGCTCTGCAGACTTACTTTTATCTCTTTGATTAGTTATGATTTTACATAAACTGTTTTAACATAGGGTTTCTATTAAAAACATTTTAAAGCACTCATCTGGAGGACAGTTACATGCGTTTACATATGCATAAGGAAGTGGACAAATGAGAATGCAGAAAAATTATAACCTTATATTTAAGTTAACTAACTTACTCCATTGCAGAAAGATCCATGTCAACTTCCTCCCCATTCATCAGTGGGATTTTTTTCTTTTTATTCCTACATTTAAGAAAAAGTAGGTTAGAAAACTGTGAGATTTCTGATTCTGAATGGAGATTAACAGCAACTGAAGTGCAAATAAAGGATTTCACACAACATTGAAAGCTATCCTTAGGAAAAATGGCTATCAAATGTAATAAAATTTAAATAGAACAAACTGTTTATTTAAAAGCTGGTGGGAATCAAGTAAATATCAAATTATTTTCCTGATCAAATGTTAACAGGAAGCATAAATATATAATAAAATGTCAACCTAAAACATATATTTCAAGAACTGGTAGCTGCAATTTTGTATAGAAAAGGGGATATATCAGTAAAGAAAACTCTTAAATAGAAAAAGGATCAGGCTTGAAATGGGAAATGAATAATTCTGAGTTGTCTGCTGCATATATGCAAAGTTCTGTCCTACATGAATTAACTAATAAAGTATCGTAAGAGTACTGATCATATGTAGAACCAATTAATATGCACAAGATTCAAGATAAGCAAAAACAAAAGCAACTGTTTTTATGTTAACTGGGGAAGGGCAAATAAAAACAGGCACGGAGAAAAGTTTTCCTGTGTTCCTCATACCAGAGAATACTCAAATGACATTCTGTTATTACAGAGAAAAAAACCTGAGAATAGCAATCAAATGTTACCAATTTCCAAGGCGGATAGGACAAAAAGAAATAAGTAACTCACTCTGATTTAAGAAAGAATTTTCTCAGAGTAGGAATGACTGTAAGATTTCAGAATCAAGTTCTTTAAAGGACTTCAAAGTCAACAGACACTCTCATCTATCTGAGTGAACTAAACAGTCACGAGTATAACACTTCTGTTCCCGAAAGTTCGTATTTCTCCAGCAAAGCACAGACATGTTCTCATCTCTCACTATTCAGAGTGCATACTAATTGTTGTGCCAAATAAGTGGTAACTGAAAAATATATTAAAGAAAAGTGGGAATTTGCCTTTGAAATACATCGAGAAGATTCTGAAGGGGCATGATAATATAGAGAAAAAGGCAAAAAAGACACAGCAAGATGCAGAGGCTTTTCATGACATATTGAGCTCTTTCCCTTCAATCACCATTTTTTCTAATATTTCCTGTAGGTATTGATCCAACAAGACTAGTAAGAATGAACCTATTTGTCTTGAATTTTTTTCTAGTACCAAAAACTCGAACTTCCATTCTCACCCCTCAGCCTCTACCTTCCAACAAAATGAGGATTCTTAAAGCTAAATGTTAAAAAATTGTTATTTAATTCTAAAGATAAAAATGTCATCAAGAAGGCAAGCAAACAAAGAATGTTTGGTAATACTAACTGAAAGTAAAATGAGGAAAAAAAGATATCTGATAGCATGTTCTCTACCTAAAAAAGTAGGTATACATAGGCTGGGCATGGTGGCTCATGCCCGTAATCCCAGCACTTTGGGAGGCCGAGGTGGGCGGATCATCTGAGGTCAGGAGTTCAAGACCAGCTTGGTTAACATGATGAAACCCCGTCACTACTAAAAATACAAAAAGTAGCAGGGGGTGGTGGCAGGTGCCTGTAATCCCTGCTACTCAGGAGGCTGATGCAGGAGAATTGCTTGAACCAGGAGGCGGAGATTGCAATGAGCTGAGATCACGCCACTGCACTCCAGCCTGGGCGGCAGAGCAAGACTCTGTCTAAAAAAATTAGGTATACCTAAAACCACAAAAACCCCAGAAGAAAACCTAGGTAATACCATTCAGGACATAGGCATGGGCAAAGGCTTTATGACTAAAACACCAAAAGTATTGGCAACAAAAGTCAAAATTGACAAATGGGATCTAATGAAACTAAAGAGCTTCTGCACAGGTAAAGAAGCTACCATTAGAGTGAACAGGCAACCTACAGAATGGGAGAAAATTTTTGCAATCTATCCATCTGACAAAGGGCTAATATCCAGAATCTACAAGGAACTTAAACAAACTTACAAGAAAAAAACCAACCCCATCAAAAGTGGGTTAAGGATATGAACAGACACTTTTCAAAAGAAGACATTTATGCGACAGCAAACATGAAAAAAAGCTCATCATCACTGGTCATTAGAGAAACGCAAATCAAAACCATAATGAGATACCATCTCACGCCAGTTAGAATGGCCATCATTAAAAAGTCAGGAAACAGCAGATGCTAGAGAGGATGTGGAGAAATAGGAAAGCTTTTACACTGTTGGTGGAAGTGTAAATTAGTTCTATTGTGGAAGACAGTGTGGCAATTCCTCAAGGATCTAGAACCAGAAATACCATTTGACCCAGAAATCCCATTACTGGGTATTACCCAAAGGATTATAAATCATTCTCCTATAAAGACACATGGACACATGTTTATCGCAGCACTGTTCACAATAGCAAAGACTGGGAACCAACCCAAATGTCCATCAATGATAAACTGGATAAAGAAAACGTGGCACATATATACCATAGAATACTATGCAGCCATAAAAAAGAAAGAGTTCATGTCCTTTGCAGGGACATGGATGAAGCTGGAAACCATCATTCTCAGCAAACTAACACAGGAACAGAAAACCAAACACCACATGTTCTCACTCATAAGTGGGAGTTGAACAATGAGAACACAAGGACACAGGCAGCGGAACATCATACACCAGGGCCTGTTGGGCGGTCGGGGTCTAGGGGAGGAATAGCATTAGGAGATATACCTAATGCAGATGACGGGTTGATGGGTGCAGCAAACCACCATGGCACGTGTATACCTGTGAAACAAACCTGCACGTTCTGTACATGTATCCCACAACTTAAAGTATAATTTTTAAAAATTAGGTAAACAACAGAATTTTTATTTTGGCATTTTAGTCTGTGAGATTTGTAGTTTACCCTTCAATTTATAGTTATTATGTAATGCCTACCTTCTACTTTTGGAATGGCAGGGTATATCGTGTTTAAGGCTGTTTTCTTCAATTTGCAGCGTATGATTGAAGGATCCATCTAACTCCTGCACTGTCACTTTAAGTGGTCCCTTTTTAAAAAAACAACACACTGTTCAGAGATGTGATTTTAAAAATACCAATATGTATGCTTATGTGTACAGAGAAATATAAATCAAGATATAAAATGATATTACACAAAATGAGTATCTGGAAACCTAGATAGGCAATTGGTGCCAAAGAGGGCAACTGGAAGATTCTGAGTCTCCTGATATCTCTGTACCTCCACTTCCCTTCTTTGACAAAGCCAATATTTTCACAAATTATCCTCTGCAAACAACATCTCATTAATTTCTAAGTAGTAACCCATCCCTAAGTCCCTCTTCTATTGAAACTGAGGAGATAGCAGTACAAAGGCCATTTTGGAAAAACACTTACCACATATTTCTGAGTTCCAGGAGATGTATAGTCCTGTTTTATTTCCAATTCCAAGACATTTCGTTTTCTATTAAATGCAAAACTTCCATAAAATTTTACCACTCCACTCTGATCTCTGAAGAATTGTAAAGGAAATTTTACATACAAAAGTGAATATGTACTAAACAAAATAAATTATCCATCTTGGTATTAGTAATTTTCAAGTGCATTCCCACCAGTTCAAAGTTTGAGAGCATACTCTGCTGTAAATCAGGTCGCAAAGTATTCAAAGTACTTGTGAAAAATGCTTTCCCAGATTTAAATAAAATTTCTGAAACACTGACAAATTTGTGTTTTGAAAGCAGCAGAACCACTATACAAGGTTATTAATATAATAAAGTGAAAAATGCAAAAATTGCAAAATTCCAAGATACCACTCCAATTGTGCCAACCCCTAACTACATACACAAGTCACCAAACTACTGCACCTCACAAGTAATTCTACAGGCCTCTCTGGCAGATTACTTACCTATCCCACCATCAAACCAGTTTTTTTACTCACATATTCTTTACTCACTAGAAAATACTTTAAAATATGCCAAACTTTACAAATATAAACATACGTGTGTGGACCTTAATGTCTAGTAGGAATCTCAGATGAAACAATCCACAGTTCATCATTATTTCTACCACTGTTTAGAAATATAAACAGTTCATACTTCCTTTAGTCCCCCTCAAACCTCTCCTTCCATCTTCCCCTTGCACATATACCTTATTCCCTTCCCCACTTTGTTGAACTGCTATTGAAAAGGATACACCCACTGCTTTATTAACGGCTGAATATCTTTGCCAGAGACATTTGAAATGGATTTCAAAAACCCAGATGTGGAAACCAACATCTGACTCCACATATGTGACTGGAACTTCTGAGATGAAGCAGTACTAGCCAGACTTAGTAGTTTATTGAAAACCTGTAAGGATAAAATCATTTAGTAAGTTCATATAACAGATTCTTTTCAATTATATAGAATACTCACTTCGCACTATAACTTTATTATAGTCAATTATAGAAGACAATAATTTCACTATTACATAGATTATTCTAAAGACTACCAGCAACAGAAATATGCAAAGATGTAAGCAGCCAGAATACAAAACCATTCTTCATATAAACATTATTGAATGTTAATGATATACTGCATAATACTGTTCATTAAGAATTACAGTAAGTAATATATAATACTGTGGGCGGCAAGTCACCCAGGTGCCAAAGCAAGAGACCAAGGGCACGAGCTGTTCCAGTATAATAAAGAAAATAGATAAAATAAGAATAGTTATACTAGATATAGATCATAGATACGATTATATATGAGTATCATTAATCATTAGTTTGTAGCAATTACTCTTTATTCCAATATTATAATAATCCTTGCTCTACAATTATAACCTAGAAAAAAACCAGGCCATACAGAGATAGGAACTGAAGGGGCACAGTGAGAAGTGACCAGAAGACAAGAATGTGAGCCCTCTGTCATGCCCGGACAGGGCCACTAGAGAGCTCCTTGATCTAGCGGTAACACCAATGTCTGGGAAGACGCCTGCTACCAAGCAGACCATGGTCTAGCAGTGGCGTCAGTGCCAAGGAAAAGCACCCGCTACTTAGCAGACTGGGAAAGGGAGTCTCCGTTTCCCCGGGGGAGTTTAGAGAAGACTCTGCTCTACCACCTCTTGTGGAGGGCCTTGACATCCATCAGGCCTGCCCACAGTTATCCGGAGGCCTAACCGTCTCCCTGTGATGCTGTGCTTCAGCAGTCATGCTCCCGTTTCACTTTCATGTTCCATTCCGTACACCTGGCTCCACCCTCTAGATAGTAGTAGCAAAATTAGTGAAAGTATTAAAGTCTCTGACTTTTCTGAAAAGAGCACAGAAGAAATAATGATGTAAGCTGTCCTCTCTCCGCCTTGGCTACCTAACAGGGAAGGGACCCCTGTCTGGTGGACATGTGACTCACATGACCTTATCAATCATTGGAGATGACTCACACTCTTTACCCTGCCCCCTTTTGCTTTGTATCCAACAAATAACAGCACAGCCAGACATTCGGGGCCACTACTGGTCTCCGCGTCTTGGTGGCAGTGGTCCCTCAGGCCCAGCTGTCTTTTATCTCTTGGTCTTGTGTCTTTATTTCTATGATCTCTTGTCTCTGCACATGGAGAGAAAAACCCACCAACCCTGTGGGGCTGGTGCCTACATAATACCAATAATTTATTGTGTTATGAGTTTACATAGAAGCTAGAAATTAAGAAGTTAATGATACTCATCAGGATTTATACTATTCCAAAGCCTGAGTGGCTCTTTATGGACCATCTCTCATTTAATGTTTCTGTTCTTCATTCTAAAGGCTGGGTGCGGTGGCTCATACCTGTAATCCCAGCACTTTGACAGACCAAGGTAGGTGGGTAGCTTGAGCCCAGGAGTTTGAAACCAGACTGGGCAACATGGTGAAACCCCATCTCTACAAACAATACAAAAATTATCCAGGGGTGATGGTGCATGCTTATAGTCCCAGCAACTCAGGAGGCTGAGAAAGATGAGAGGATCCCTTGAGCCTGGGAGATCAAGGCTGCAGTGGGCCGTGACTGCACCACTGCACTCCAGCCTGGGCAACAGAGTAAGATCCTATCTCAAAAAACAAACAAAACAAACCAAAAAAAAGGCAAGGTGAAAGAAAGATTAAAGAAACTGAACTTTATAGCAAACTTAAAATGCTTTAAAAAAATTATTTTTTACCTGCCTCTAAGAATGTTATCAATGAAAAAAAATGGCTGAACATTTGGTTTCCACTCTCAACTACTAAATCACAACTATTTACACTGAAACTTGCTTAAAATATATGGCAACATTTAGCAATAGCAAAAATAAACATTTTTTATATTGGTTTACATTTTTCTATTGAAAACAGTTTAAAGTGGCATTTCATCCTTAATATAATGCAGAACACAAATTCATATGCATAGATATGTTTTACTTTCATCCCGACAATTCTAATTTTTTTTTTCTCTTGAGACAGAGTCTCGCTCTGTCGCCCAGGCTGGTGTGAAGTGGCACAGTCATAGCTCACTGCCGCTTCAACCTCCTGGACTCAAGCAATCCTCTTGCCTCCACCTCTCAAGAAGGTGGGACTACAGAATCATGCCACTATGCCTGACTTTGTAATATAAATTTTTTTTAGATGGGGTCTTATTACATTGCCCAGGCTAGTCTCGAACACCTGGCCTCAAGCAATCATCCCACCTCAGCCTCCCAAAGTGCTGGGATTATAGGCATGAGATGCCATGCCCAACCACTACATTCTGTCTTCATAAAAATCATGTGCTAAGTTGTTCTGGTATTGATATCCATTCTACATCTGAGGAAATGCAAATATAAAGCACAGGTTGCTTAGTGGGCAGACAAAACTATATATCTAGATGTCCTGACTCCTATTCTACAGAAACATATTCAGGTTGCACACATACAGATATTTATTTACCACTGTTAAGTTCTTAACTTTAATACTTACCTGTAGCATAAATTCCATACTGATCCTATTTTCAATCAATCTCATCACAAGGTGGGCTTTACACTGAAACATAGTGTAGTATTCCCAGGACAGTGTATGTGGATGCTTTATTGAAAAGTGTAGATGGGAAGCTGGACTAAAAAAAAATAAACACATTTACCTACTACAGCAAATTTGACTATTAATAAACAATAAATTTCATGACCACATCAAGAAAATACCCAAAAAAACCTCATGGGAATATATAAACAATTTCCTTAGTACTAAGAAACATCTAAAAATAAACTTAACTGGAAGAAAATTATGAAGTTTTACTTAAGGACATAAAGGAAAATCTGAATAAAAAGAAACAAATAGCAAGCTCCTAGATGGGAAGATACAATACTGTAAATACTTGCATTCTCCCCAAATTCGTCAATACAATCAACGCAATTCCAATAAATATCCCAACACTGAAGCATGCACAAAGGTATATTAAGGATTGATTATATATATAAAACAAAAACCATTAAAAAAGTACTAAAAGAAATGAAGGAAAAAATTTCTCTTTATAATTTTGGAATGGGAAAAACTTTCCTAAGAAAAAATATAAAATCTGGAAGATATAAATACCACAATGACTATGTAAAAATAAAAATTTTTGACATAATGAAAAGGATCATACATTTAGAGAAAGATAGTCTAGAAAATATTTATGACATACATGAACATTTAAGTTGTTTACAAATTATCACTAGACAAAATAATGCTATGGTGAATATCTTTTTACACATGTGCAAATATTTCTGTATGATAAATGCCTAGAAGAAGAATTTCTTTTTTGGGAGGAGCAGATAAAGTCTCACTCTTGTCCCCAGGTCGAAGTGCAGTGGCACAATCTAGGCTCACTGCAACCTCTGCCTCCTGGGTTCAAGCGATTCTCTTGCCTCAGCCTCCGGAGTAGTTGGGACCAGGCACCCGCCACCATGCCTGGCTAATTTTTGTATTTTTTGGTGGAGATGGGGTTTTGCCATGTTGGCCAGGCTGGTGTCAAATTCCTGGACTCTGGTGGTCCACCTGCCCAGCCTCCCAAAGTGCTGGGGTTACAGGCCTAAGTTCCCGTGCTGGGCCACAAGAATTTCTACATGATCACATACCTAGAAGAATTGCTGCATCTAAAAATTACCCATTGTACAATTCTGATTAGTACCACACTAAATTCCCCATCAGAAACACTGTATTGAACTATACTCTCACAGTGTACGAGTGGTGCTATGGTTTGTTTGAATGATGGTGCCCCCTCCAAAATTCATATTGAAACTTAAACCCCAATGCAACAGTTTTAAGAGGGGTGGCCTTTAGAAGGTGATTAAGTCATCAGGGATCTACCCTCATAAATGGGATTAGCGCCCTCATAAAAAGGCTCCAGGCTGAAGGGAGTGTTCTCTTGCCCTGCCATCCCTTCCACCTTGTGAGGACACAACATTCTTCCCCACTGGAGGACGCAGCAACTAGGTGCCAACTAGGTGCAGAGAGTAGCCCTCACCAGACACCAATCCTCCCAGTGCCTCAATCTGGAACTTCCCAGCCTTCAGAACAAGAAGTAAATTTCTATTGTTTATATTATTACCCAGTCTGTGGTACTTTGTTATAGTAGCATAAACAAACTATGGCAAGTGGTATCACACATCTCCTTCAAAATGTAGCATATTGGTTAAGGCAGGAGGATTGCTTGAGCCCAAGAGTTTGAGATCAGCCTGGGTAACAATGTGAGATCTCACTTAAAAAAACAATAAAAAATTTTTTTTTAAATGTGGCATATTAAAACTTAAAATACTTTAATCAATCTGACATTTTTAAAATTATTTTTATATTTTACTTATTACTTCCAACCTTAAGAGCTTTATGAGTTTGTAAGCTTTAGCAAAGGACAGCAATAAGAAAAAGGTTAAATTCTGAGGTACAATGAAATACTATTTAGCTCTTAAATGAAATAATTTTCATATATAGTCAAGATTTATAATATCATCTCTGAACAACAAACATACTTATCCTTCTCTTTTCCTCCACCAAATATGGGATGTAGTAAAACTCCACCAGTTTTCAGTTCATATGCCACAATTCTGTCTAGCTCCTAAAAAATATATAAAAATAGGAGTCAGTAAAATTTGTAAAGTAACATTTTTTTACATACCAAATTTTAGAATTAAACTGAATTCTCATTTCCTAAAATCAGATGTAAATTTCTTAAAATAAGTGAAATGTATTTAAAGAGTAGTTTATGTTCTTATAAATAAAGCAGCCCACGTAGCTGGCAGAATGACAAAAGCCAAAGACTTCCCTACTTTGTGACTTCAGGGCTGGACAGCAGCCTGGCAACTTTTTCTTATGGCTGTTCTCAATCTCTCTGAGCTGTCTCCAAGTTTATTTTTTCCTTCTCTGTATTTTGCTTCAAGGAATTCAGGTGAGTAAAAAGGAATGGGAATAAATTATGTCAGGAATCCATCATTTTAAACTTCTCCAGTCTTCTCTAACATGACATAAATCGAACTTTAAAAAAAAGGGATTTTTTTTTAAACAGAAAAAAAAAAAGCAGGGTGCAGGGGGTTGTTTTGTTTTGTTTTGAGACAGGGTTTTTACTCTGTCACCCAGGCTGGAGTTCAGTAGCTGATTATGGCTTACCGCAGCCTTAACCACCTTGGCTTAGGTGATCCTCCCACCTCAGCCTTCCAAGAAGCTGGGACTACAGGCACATGCCACCATGCCTGGTTAATTAAAATTTAAAAAAAGCATAAGTGAAGGTGGGCACAGTGGCTCACACCTGTAATCCATCCCAGCACTTCGGGAAGCTGAGGCGAGTGGATCATGAGGTCAGGAGTTCGAGACCATCCTGGCCAACATGGTAAAACCACATCTCTACTAAAAATACAAACAATTAGCCGGGCATGATGGCAGGTGCCTATAATTCCAGCTCTCAGGAGGCTAAGGTAGAAGAATCACTTAAACCCAGACGCAGAGGTTGCAGTGAGCCAAGATTGTGCCACTGCACTACAGCCTGGGCAACAGAGTGAGACTCTGTCTCAAAAAAAAAGAAAAGCATAAGTGGAAAAAAAAACACTACCACAATTGTGCTGGAATATTGGGGGAACCCGCCTTCAATATTTCAACATAGGTTCTTTCTATTTTCCATAAGTGTCGGCCGGCTGAGAAATAAAGAGAGACAGTATAAAGAGAAGAATTTTACAGCTGGGTCGCCGAGGGTGACATCACATATCAGTAGGACCATGATGCCGACCTGAGTCTCAGACCAGCAAGTTTTTATTAAGGGTTTTAAAAGGGGAGGGAGTGTAAGAACAGGGAGTAGGTACAAAGATCACATGCGTCAAAGGGCAAAAGGCTAGTAAGGGTCTAACAAAGATTATATGCTTCTGAGGCAATAGCACAAAAGGCAAAAGCAGAACTACTGATAAGGGTCCAACAAAGGTCACAAGGCAAAGGGCAAAAGCAGAACTACTGATAAGGGTCTACGCTCAGCAGTGCATGTATTGTCTTGATAAACATCTTAAATAAGAGAAAACAGGGTCCGAGAACAGAGAACCAGTCTGACCACAAATTTACCAGGGCAGAATTTTTCCCCACCCTAGTAAGCCTGGGGGTCCTGCAGGAGACCAGGGCATATCCCAGTCCTTATCTCAACCACATAAGACAGACATTCCCAGAGTGGCCGTTTATAGACCTCCCCTCCCCAGGAATGCATTCCTTTCCCAGGGTATTAATATTAATATTCCTTGCTACAAAAAGAATTTAGCGATATCTTCCCTACTTGCATGTCTGTTTATAGGCTCTCTGCAAGAATAAAAATATGGCTCTTTTTGCCCGACCCCACAGGCAGTCAGATCTCATGGTTGTCTTCCCTTGTTCCCTAAAAAATCACTGTTATTCTGTTCTTTTTCAAGGTGCACTGATTTCATTTTGTTCAAACACAGGTTTCACAATCAATTTGTACAGTTAACACAATTATCACAGTGGTCCTGAGGTGACGTACATCCTCAGCTTATGAAGATAACAGGATTAACAGATTAAAGTAAAGACAGGCATAAGAAATTATAAAAGTATTATTTGGGAACTGATAAATGTCCATATTAAAATGAAATCTTCACAATTTATGTTTAGAGATTGAAGTAAAGACAGGTGTAAGAAATTATAAAAGTATTATTTGGGAACTGATAAATGTCCATATTAAAATGAAATCTTCACAATTTATGTTCCTCTACTGCAGCTCCAGTCGGTCCCTCCATTCGGGGTCCCTGACTTCCTGCAACATTGGAAACTCATAACTGCTTTAAATAATATAGATGTAGTATAGAAAAGTGGCAAACAGCATAGGGAAGAAACTAAAAGCCAAGCTAGAATCCTGGGCCTACTACTTACTAGCTGTATACTCTGACCACATAATTTAACCTTTCTTTCTGTGCCTCAGTTTCTTCATCTATAAAATGGGAATAATAGCAAGGTAGTTAGGAGAATTAGGTTCATTAATATTTATAAAACATTGGTAACAGTGCCTGAAACATTTTAAGTGTTGTGTTATTCTGTTCTTCTTAATAGTTTCTGAAATAAAGAAGAGACTCCTTCAGTTATAGACGTACAAATACCTTAATAGCTCTAGATGTTTAAAGTATTCGAAAATTAACTTCTTGGCTTGAGTTTACTCTTGGATGATAATAATATGTAAAATGAGAATAAGGGGAAGATGATAAGGTTTGTTTAATAAAGATATTAAAGGCTGCAATTTTCCATCTGAGAAGGAAGACACTAAGCATGATATGATTAAAATGTTTACGTATATGACCAGAATGTGCTAAGTAAAACACAACTGATGTTATATTTTTGGCCAAATCTTTAAATTGTTTAAAAAAAAAAAAAAAAAAAAGACATGAAATGACAACATAAATGCATTCAAGGCCTAGCCAGAATATAAGAAGCAGTTAATATGTGCAAAGCATCATGCACATTACATGTATAATGTCTAATAATCTCTGCCCATGGGCAGACACTACGACTGCCCTCCTGAAACAGATGAGACTTGGAAAGATTAAGGTCACAAAGCTAAACAAATTTAGGAAGCACAATTACAAATGACTACTATAAGGAGCTGGGACATACCTAACGACCAATCTGATGTTTAAGGAACTTAAATATTCTCTTCCATAGAGGAAAAAATGTTTTTAGGGGCCAATGTTGACAATGGAGATTAGATAAAATAGACCATTAGTCTTTCTCAGTAAATCGATTCCCATTTTGCTGGGAAAAATTAGGGGTTTTCAAGTAGTATTTTGAAGTATTTTACAGTCATTAAAAATGGAGGACATGAGACCTGGAAATCAGGAGAACATTAACAGTCTTACTGACTTGTAAGTGGATGAGGGATCTAGCTGTCATTACCTCTTTAATCCAATGGCGGTATTCATTAACACCAAAAGTTTTTTTCATCCAAAGTCCATAGATATAGCCTGAAATTCCCTTCAGCACCCATTCATCAGACCTAAGCAAAAAGTCAAAGTACAAATTACTTTTAATCATAAAAACTCCTCAGAAAATGTCGAAGAGGAAAATGGAATAAGTGTAGTGTGTATTTCCCTGCCTTCATAAAGAAAATGAAAATTATTAACAAATCATTAGGTTCCCCAACTTCCTCTGGCTGAGTTCTGCTTGCCCATTCATTATACCTTATTCACACCTGCCTTTACCATTAATTATGAGACTGCTTTACAGTCTTGCTTCAGGTATAAATTACTAGAGTATATGCTCTACTCTGACAGTGCTGCTTCCCTCCTGCCCAACTCTGTTCTTACTGTCTTTGCCTCTAGGGAAATACTTGCTCATAGTCAGGACTATACTGTTGAATTCTAAAAGTCCACATGCTATTATTGCCAATCCCATGCATTATGCCATTAATAATGACATTCTAAAACCTAAAGTTTAATTGCTTCATTCATTTTTGTTGCTTTCTCTAGAAAAATGGCAATTAACATCACTCACTCATTTAGTCATTTGTATACTCATCCATCTATCCATCCACCCACCCCATCCATCCATCCATACATCCAGCCAGCCACCCATATTTTGCCTACTACGTTCCAAGCACTATTCTTTAATGAAACTTCTACATGTGGATTTAGGAAAATTACAAATCAAGAGATCTATGTTTAGCCTCTGCCCTCTCCACTCCAGCAAGCAAAAAAAGAAAACCAAGATTTATATACTCTATATAGTATAGAATGTTCACAATTATAATCTTAATTTTTCTGTTATCTTCTAAATCATCCTCAAGTTAATAAAAAAGAAAAGAAAGAGCATTTATACCTTTCATTTCTTTCAACAAACTGGTACAAAGCTGAGCACTAGTAGGCAAACCCCTAAATAATTATTAATACTGCAGAGGAGCACTCTTTTACATTAAATATTAAGTTATTTCCAATTGCTTTGAACACTGACATCAAAATTCTAACAACAGTTTTCTGTACATTTATGTTCTTTTATTTACAGAATTCATTCAGTTCTTTAAGACACCGTCTTACCAAAATCTTACCTTATAAACCGCAGAAGTGATTATATTGACTTCATGTCCAAAAAGTTAGGATGAAACTTACAATCATTTTTCTTTAAATACATCTAGAACAGTGTCTCTTAAACTAGCTATCTGCAATTAGGGCAAAGGTCAGCTTAAATGCAGGAAAAGAAAAGAAAAATAAACTTGATTCTTTTCTCAGTAGTATGAACTTTCAGGTTACTCACCAAGACATTCTAGATATGAAACATCCAAAAAACTGCTGGGCCAAGGACTGGGCTAAACACCTTCTAGTCAAAGGTGTCTCATCTATAATCATGGCACTGTGTAAAAGATTCGTGCTGGAATTTAAAAGAGAAGAAAGCTCATTATAACCAAGAAATAAATACTTATTCAGTGAATATAAAATAATTCCACTTTTAAAACAATAGAAGTTAGATATAAAATAGAAAAAAAAATTATCCCAGCTTTCTAATCTTTTCAAAATTTAGTTAAAATTCCTCATCTTAGTAACTTTTGCTCAAAACAAAGAACACAACATTTTCCACTGATATCAGTAAATTTCTGACAATATCAGCACATTTTTAAATAGTGCTAGAAAAAAATTCATACTAGTCATACAATAATTTGTACAATTTTTAAAGAATTTATGAAAACAAGACTAAAATGGAGAAAATATTAATATTAGTTAATTCTGGATGAAGATGAGCCTTTTGAGTTATCTCAAAATTCTTGTCTTCATGTTTTTCTACATTTACAAATTTGAAAAACCAAATTTTCTACAAAGCCAATCACATTTAAATTGGAGAAAAAAGTTCAAAGCTCGCCTTAAAATTGACCACAAAATCAGTAACTTTTCTTCATATCATTACCTTAATTTAGGCATTTCAAATATGAAGAGATACCAACCTAAAAATGCTCATGGAAGCATAAGCAGCCACTTCAACATAAGCCTCATCAATGAAGACAGTCTTAAAACAGGAGTATGGGTATCGACACGTAAGAATTTCTTCATAAAATTCAAAGACTTCATGAAGGTATGATGTGGTATGTTTCAGCAATGGAAGAAGTTGGGGCAAACAAAAATGAGTAACCTGAAAAGAAGACGCAAGGAAGATCATCTAAATGAAACAGTTACCTTTAATATTGTAAATTTCCTAAATATCTCAATTATAAATAAATGTTCTCATAAATCTATTCTTTAATAATTTCAAGATGCTGAAAGAAAATGTGAAAATAGTGATTACTTTTACTGATCACATTTATAAAATATTAATTGTACTTAAAAATTAAATTCATGGTGTATTATAAGGCTGTGGAACGCTTAGACCAACTAAAATATAACTCTGGTTCCAAATTCAATTAAAATTTTTTCTCATATGTACACACAACAAGAAAGATTTAAATTTCAAAGGCTTATTATAAACATACTTCTTATTCATAAATATCTAATCTAGTGAATAATGCATGTTATAATAATCCATCTTATCAACTGTTAATGTTAATCATATTATCTGCATATAAAAAATAATTACTGTAGTCCCCCTCTAATATTTCAATTACATACCGAAAACTGCAGAAAAACTTAATGGTAGTTAGAAGATTAAAAAACGCCTGCAACAGAAATAGTAACTCTGGTTTTTTTCATTAGGTTACATCTCACTTTGGTCACACAATTATTGTATGCTATCTCTTACTGTGATCTGTGCTGTTGCGGGAAGTCAGGGACCCTGAATGGACGGACTGGCTGAAGCCACGGCAGAAGAACATAAATTGTGAAGATTTCATGGACATTTATTAGTTCCCCAAATTAATACTTTTATAATTTCTTACGCCTGTCTTTACTGCAATCTCTGAACATAAACTGTGAAGATTTCATGGACATTTATCACTTCCTCAATCAATACTCTTGAATTTCCTATGCCTGTCTTTAATCTCTTAATCCCGTCATCTTCATAAGCTGAGGATGTATGTCGCCTCAGGACCCTGTGATGATTGCATTATCTGCACAGATTGTTTGTAAAACATGTGTGTTTGAACAATATGAAATCTTGGTATCCTAAAAAGGAACAGGGTAACAGCAATTTCCAGGGAACAAGGGAGATAACCATAAGGTCTGACTGCCTGCGGGGCCGAGCAGAACAAAGTCGTATTTCTCTTCTTGCAGAAAGCAAATAAGAGAAATATCGCTGAATTCTTTCCCCAGTAAGGAATAACCCTGGGAAAGGAATGCATTCCCAGGGGGAGGCCTCTAAATGGCCACTCTGGGAGTGTCTGTCTTATGGGGTTGATGATAAGGGATGAAATACACCCTAGTCTCCTGCAGTACCCTCAGGCTTGCTAGGATTAGGAAATTCCAGCCTGGAAAATTCTCGTCAGACCAGTTGTCTGCTCTAGAACCCTGTTTCCTGTTAAGATGTTTATCAATGACAATGCGTGCCCAACAGGACATGGAACCTCATCAGTAATTCTAATTTCACCCTGGCCTTGTGATCTTGCTCTGTCCTTCTACCCTTGTGATCTTTTATTGCCCTGTGAAGTATGTCATCTTTGTGACTTACTCCCTGTTTGTACTCCCTTCCCCTTTTGAAATCCCTAATAAAAACTTCCTGGTTTTGCGGCTCATAGGGCATCATGGAACCTACCAATAGGTGATGTCATCCCCGGAGGCCCAGTTGTAAAATTTGTCTCTTTTGTACTCTTTCTCTTTATTTCTCAGACCAGCTGACACTTAGGGAAAATAGAAAAGAACCTACACTGAAATACTGGGGGCTGGTTCCCCCGATACTGTGCCAAATGAGTGCCATCAACAATGACACAGATCACTGACTAGAACAACCATGTAAGGTTTCACGCAGGAGTGTGAAGCCGTTGTAATCTTTTTGAGTTCAACAGAAGTCTGATAGGGAATTTTTGGTATAGGAAAAGAGAACATCCCAGAGTCAAAGATGGGAAGAAAAAAGGTACGATCAGAGAAGTCTAAGTAAACTATTTTGACTATAACATCTATTAGGGTCAAATTACAGAAGATCTTGAAAGCCATGCTAAAGAGTTCTAATTACTGCAGAATTATAAAGGCAAGGGAAGTTTTTAATTTATCATAAAAATTATTCTTCTAATAACATTTAAAAGAACAGATTAGAGGCTACCATAAGAGTGGAGAAAAGTATCTATGTATTATTAATGATCAGGGCCCAAAACAGTATCATGATTAACATTCCCTTTGTATTAATCATGATATTTAATCATAATTTTATTTGTGTATGCAAATAAAAAATACTATTCATCAGAAAAAGGACTCATTTTTAGACAAACCTACAAGACAGCAAATTTACTGATAATGCAGGTAACAACTCATGTATTTGACACAGAGAAAGACTAAGTCAGGAAAAACAATTCTTGACTATCATTTGCCTTGTTCCTATTCAATAACTCAGAGTAGAAAAAAATTCTTCTGAAATACAAAATAGGTACTAATCAAACATTGATTTTAAAGTTACCAAAGACAATAAAGTTCACTGCCAATCTTATCAGTGGATAAACCTTTCAAAAGAGTCATTGTTAACACAACATAAGCAAAATCAACACAAAATATCCTGAATCTTTTCCATGAATGATTTTACAAATCCTGTGAATTTCAGCAAAGAAAATATAAAAGGCAAACTGAGGAGCTCACTGAAAGCCTGCTGCCCTCAATTTTTATTCACATGACTAAAAGAAATGCTGTTGAGATATACATGGTCAAATTACATGTTTATATATTTCTTTAAAAAAAAAAAAAAAAAAAAAAAACCTAAGTTGAAGACTAAAGAAGAGAGGTAACAACTAATAAATCATTTTCTAATCAGCAGAAGTCTCATGCTTGGGGAGGCCTAAAACTGCTATTTGGCCTGTCAATTGATAAATGAATTATGATAAGATATGTGCTGGGAAGAAACTATAAGTCTTCCTGAGTATGCTAACTGGGTTTCTGACTGTCTATTTTCCTCTGTATAGGTTGAAGAGAGAATAAATCTTCCTCTTTAATTTTGAATTTACAATATTTTACATACCAGAGATGGGACCACAACATTCAAAAACATGATAAACAAAAAGATGACATTAGTAACGAACAGAATTAGTTACAGAAATCAACCTATACTCTAAATAACTGAAGGTCTTTTGAAATGCTAAGGCTCTGTTGGAAAATAATCTGAAATTTAAATACAACATTTTAAAAGAAATTCATTCAAGAATTCACATCATTATATATATCAGATAAGGAAACTTATTTATTTATTTATTTTTTGAGACAGAGTCTCAGGCTGTTGCCCAGGCTGGAGTGCAGTGGCGCAATCTTAGCTCAATGCAAGCTCCGCCTCCCGGGTTCAAGCCATTCTCCTGCCTCAGCCTCCCAAGTAGCTAGGACTACAGGTGCCCACCACCATGCCTGGCTAAGTTTTTGTATTTTTAGTAATGATCGGGTTTTGCTGTGTTGGCCAGGATCGATCTCCCGACCTCGTGATCTGCATGCCTTGGCCTCCCAAAGTGCTGGGATTACAGGCGTGAGCCACTGCACCCAGTCAATATCCATCTTTTTAAAAGCAGTAAAAGGCCAGGAGAAGAGTAAGAGGGGAGAGCTCTGACTTACCTCATGCATGTATGGATCTACAAGTATTTCAAATGGTCCAATGGCCAAGGAGATATTTGACGCTGCTGTAGGAATGGTAAGCATATAATGGAAAGTTTTCTTCCTCATATCATGGGTATACACTGTCTCCACCAAATCGCCATTAGAAACAGCAACCATTGCAGCATCTACTGTAAATTCTAATTTCCATGTACACAATTCAGAGTATGAATCAACACAAGGGAACCAAAATCTAGAAAAAAGATTGACAGTATAGAAAATGTATTCAAAGTGTCCCCTACATTGCTTTCCCAACATGCAAGTTATTTTAGCATTTCTAGAAAATGAACAAACAAAACCTTTAGCTATTTGGCTACTGAAGCTTTTTACTGTACAACCTGAAAAAAATCTGATAAAATAAAATCTGTTTCCAAATACTATTTGGCAACATTAAAAAAAAATATTACGTGTTACCATCAGTTCAAACCCTAAAAAGAGTTAAGTAATTCTTAGTTTCCAATGTTTTAAAAAATAATTTTAACTTGTATATGCACATTAGTCAGTTTTTATGCAGCATTCATTTCTAGAAACTAAAAAAGGCTTACAGTAAAAAGTTTTATAAAACATAACGAATATTCAGAATTTATTTGATTAAATTATAAAACTGCTTTTTTGAAGTATGTAACGCATTGTATAAATTCAAACTGAGTGCTGGTAAAGCCAGATATAAAATTTATAGTCAGCTTTCATCAATTCCGGTAAGGTGTTATGTGACAGGGTAGGTACTTAGTATTGAGGCATAAAAGTGTGTAAGACATTATCCCTGGTTTAGAGGAGTTATTATAATAATCTGAGGAGAGGCTGGGCGTAGTGGCTGACGCCTGTAATCCCAGCACTATGGGAGGCTGAGGCCGGTGGATTACCTGAGGTCAGGAGTTTGAAACCAGCCTGGCCAACATGGTGAAACCTGTCTCTACTAAAAATGCAAAAATCAGCCAGGAATGATGCATCTGCTTGTAATCCCAGCTACTCCAGAGGCTGAGGCAGGAGGATCATTTGAACCTGGAAGGTGGAGGCTGTATGAGCCGAGATTGCGCCACTGCACTCTAGCCTGTGCGACAGGCTGTCTCTACTAAAGACATGAGGAAACCCCGTCTCTACTAAAAATACAATAATTAGCCAGGTGTGGTGGCACATGCCTGTAGTCCCAGCTACTTGGGAGGCTAGGCAGGAGAATCACTGCAATCCAGGAGGTGGGGGTTGCAGTGAGCCAAGATTATGCCACTGTACTCCAGCCTGGCCAACAGAATGAGACCCTGTTTCAAAAAATAAATAAATAAATAAATAAGCAGAGTTGAGAAGTAGAATGTGAAGTGGGGAAGTAGAGAATGAAAGCAGGTGAGAGGAGGTCTCTGTAATGCTTGTAATATTGTGTCTAAGTGTAAATTATGTGGGCTTGTTCACTTGTGAAAATTCATCGAAGTTTACATTCTGTGCAATTTTCTATATGTATGTTTTACTTCAATATAAAGTTTTTAAAAAAGAAGGAATCAAGTGAGATGATTATTTTAGAACAGTAAACATGAAAATGGAGAGAATAAGGGAGATGTAAGATTAAGGAGGGCTGGGTGCCGTGGCTCATGCCTGTAATCCCAGCACTTTGGGAGGCCAAGGTGGGTGGATCACTTGAGGTCAGGAGTTAAAGGCCAGCCTAGCCAACATGGTGAAATCCCATCTCTACTAAAAATATAAAAAATTAGGCAGGTGTAGTGGTGAATACCTGTAATACCAGCTACTTGGGAGGCTGAGGCATGAGAATCACTTGAACCTAGGAGGTAGAGGTTGCAGTGAGCAGAGATAGCACCCCAGCACACCCCAACAAGGGTGACAGAGCAAGACTGTCTCAAAAAAGAAAAATTTTTTTTAGGAGGAATGACTAACAAAGTAATTTGAAAGAACTCTGAATTTGGGAGGGAATAAAACTAGTATTTCTTGTTTTACACCAAATGTATGCCTTGCTTATACATAAAAAATGCAATTTAAAAATTAATTGAAATATTTAAGAATCTATAATCTACCTTGTAGAATTTTGATACCCACAAGAGAAAACATGAGCACCTCTCTCTGCCATACTTCCCTCTACACTGGGTACCACAAAATGAAGACCTCCTTTGGGCTGATCCAGAGAAAAATTGATGTGTATCTTCAGGACCTTTAACTCTGCAACAAATAAACATACACACACATTGATATATAAATAAGTACAGTGGTCTATATAATAAAGACAAAGATTTAATGCTGAACATGAAATGAAATTGAGGACTGAGATTTATATGAAAAACCACACTACTTACCCTAGTTTAGACTTTTACCATATGTCTGCCTATATTAACTCAACAGGCTGCTACTATTGGTATTTCTACCTCCAATCAATTATAACTATTGCTTGTATTATTTTCCCAAAATACACCTTTGGTTACGCCATATCCTCCTCTCAACATTTCTGACAACGTACAATGCCTAAAAAGTCCAAAACTCCCACACTGCACACTTACACCTTCCAAATCCAATCTCAATCTTACTGATACAGTTTGGCTCTGTGTTCCCACCCAAATCTTGTAGCTCCCATAACTCCCACATGGTATGGGAGGGACCCGGTAGGAGGTAATTGAATCACGGGGGCAAGTCTTTCCCGTGCTATTCTCACGATAGTGAATAAGTGTCACAAGATCTGATGGTTTTCAAAATGGGAGTTTCCCTGCACAAGCTCGCTCTCTCTTTTTGCTGGCCACCATCTGCAGAAGACATGACTTGCTCTTACTTGCCTTCTGCCAAGATTGTGAGGTCTCCCCAGCCACGCGGAACTGTAAGTTCATTAAACCTCTTTTTCTTCCTAGTCTGAGGTATGTCTTTTATCAGCAGCATGAAAACGGACTAACACACTTACTTTTCAAGTTCTTTCTCCTATTACATTCTCCTGCAAATTTAACCCTAGGTGACTTTGGGGAGTACAAGGATGAGAGGTAGAGTAGGGAACACTACTCGAGAATTTGCATTATTATCATGTATTTTGTTACGCTTGATTTCTTCACGGTAAACTGCATTGCTTTCATAAGATTCTAATTTCCCTCCAAGCATTACAATCATATGCACTATCTCCAAACACTAAAAAGGCAATGACGACTTCCACGTCTGTCCCCTAAATTAGGGTAAGTTCCTCCACAAACCCTATCCCGCCCCCAGCACCCACAACAGAAAGCAATAAACAAAACAAGAAGTCTTTTACTTCCTTATCTTGATTTTTATAAGGCTAAATAAGCAAGGCAGAAGCTAATGTACAATATTACAGTGGCTAAAACTTTATACAAGACACAAAGAAGGTTTAAAAAGTCTGCAGATTGAGTATCAGGAACCCTGTGTTTTAGCTTTAACTCCACCAATAATTTGCTAAGTGAAGTTCAGCAGGTTACTCACTCTCATTAGACTTCAGATTACTCTTCTGTAAAAAGAAGGAATTGAACCAGATTTTTCAGGATCTTTCCTGCTACAAAATGCTATAATTCTAAACTAATTTGATATTGTGCGGGTTCTCAAATCTTGACAAATGGTTCTATCTACATGATTTTTTAAAAATATTTTTCACCGCCAGGTGCAGTGGCTCACCCCTGTAATCCCAGCACTTTGGGAGGCCAAAGCGGGCGGATCACCTGAGGTGAGGAGTTCGAGACCAGTCTGGCCAACATGGTAAAACCTCGTCTCCTCTAAAAATACAAAAATTAGCCAGGCGTGGTGGCGGGAGCCTGTAATCCCAGTTACTCAGTGGCTGCGGCAGGAGAATCGCTTGAACTTGGGAGGCGGAGGTTGCAGTGAGACAAGATTGCACCATTACAGTCACCCTGGGTGAGGAGAGCAAAACTCCGTCTCAAAAAAAAAAAAAATTGTTTTTTGCTTTAAAAAACGGTGAAATAAATTGCTTTTTTCACAGCCCTAAACTGATATTATCCTGTTAGCCAGTGATCCTTAAAAAGAAAAAGGGCTTCCAACCCATTCTGTGTATTTCAACTGGTTAATTTACAATTTTGACATCATTGGTGTTTGTTTTTTTTTTTATTAGACGGAGTCTCACTCTGTTGCACAGGCTTGAGTGCAGGGGTGCGATCTCAGCTTACT